TAACTTGTAAACGCGTTTCTTTTTCTCAGGGACTAAGAAAGTGCTGTGCATCACCTTCTCCCTGGGGGCGGTCCTCGTGGGAGCAGTGGTGGCCGCTGTCTTGCTCTGGAAATTCAGTAAGTGGAGTGTCTCCCCTGAAGCTGGAGAGGGCGATGAGAGGCGGGTGCCGGGTGCCCGGCCTGTCCCGGGTGCCAAGCTCACAGGAGCCCTGCTCGCTGGGCAAGGGACCCTCCCGCAGCCCTGCCTGAAGCTTCTGTCTTATAAGACGAGCTGTCTTCTCTGCTTCTCTTGAGTTATGGTGATGCGTGATTAACCATTCTTGGAAGCAGGCGATCTTGTCTGGGTTGCATGCTTTGTCCTAATCTATGGGATATCACAGTCTTATGCCACTTGTGTGGTGTTGACACACGCTGGGAGAAGCATTTGCGTTTACCCAGTGGTTTGGGGCACTAGGCACCACCTGGCACTCATGAGCACAGGTTCCCCACCTTGGGGCCACACCTGGTCTCCTTTATCACAGTGCCCAGCAGTGGCTGCTTCAGGCTGGCCGTGCCCTCTCCTGCCACCTTCTTGAAGCCCAGCGCAGCCTCTGCCATCAGCCTGGGGCAGTGCAGGCTCACAGGAGCCACCTGGGTGGCAGAGAGAAAGTGGGGAGCTGTGCAAATGCAAGGCTGGAAGTCCTTCCCACTGGCCCTGATATGGATGAGCCTCCAGCCTGGTTCCTTTGAGACGTGGGCAGCACAGACTCCTTTTCAAATTAAGGGGAAAGGTTTTCCCCTCTGTTATGTGGGGTGGACGGCGGGATTTGGGTGGGTGCCAGGCGGTTCTGTTGGTTCCTGAGCCTGACTAGCGTCTCGCTCCTCTCTCTGCAAGTGGAAAACAAGTGCTCGGTATCCGGGATCGAGTGTGGCTCCTCGGGGACCTGCGTCAGCGCCTCTCACTGGTGTGACGGGGTCCTGCATTGCCCCAGCGGGGAGGACGAGAACCGATGTGGTAAGTCAGGGGACAGTGCACTCGGGCTTGGGAAGGCACTGCGTTGCCCAGGGGACTCGGGCACCTGGGGTCCACCATGCACGGAGCATGTCAGTGCAGGCTCGTGTCCCCCACGCTGATCTATCATGTCATCAGTCCCTACTGGAGCTTTGGGTTAACCCCGATTGGCAGATGAGGAGACAGGCTCAGAGACGGTGTGCTCCCGGCCCCACATCACACAGCCGGTGGGAACCACCCAACAGGCCCAGGGTCACTGTGACATGCACTCTCCCTACTGCCACAGGGTGTCGCCACATGGCAGTGAGAAGGAGCAGTTTTCAGTGTAAAGTTGCGAGCATGCCGTGTAACAGGCTGTAACAGGGAAAATGATGTTTGAGCCTGGGAGTCGAGCTGATGTCCACATATACTCACACCCGGAGTTAAAGGCTTGTCCTCTGCGAGCTGATAACGTTTCACACACTTAATGCTGGAGAAAGACCGTGTGCGCTTTATGGTCATTTTTTCTTCTCCTGCGACCATCCCCGGCGAGGTTTCTTTTCCTGTGCGTCCCCGTTTCCAGGTCACAGTCCCTGTGTGGGATGTATGGTCGGTCCTGGCTCGTGGCTTCCTCCGAGAGGCAGCCTGGGCCTTGGGGTCGCCCTACGTGGTCCCCTGGACTGCGGGGTGAGGCCTCGGTCCCTGTACCAGGAGCTCCTGAGGTAGCCTTGCCTGCTTCCCGGCCGCCTGGAGATTGTTGGTACTTGCACGTGACTTGCTCACTTCTTAAACTTTCCGCGGAGTATCTTGCCTTTATTTGAGCGATAATATGTTTGTCACCATTTTCTTAAATAAAGGAGGGAGCTTTTGAGGTTGAGCAGAGTGTGGTTACGGTGTGAGGCGGAGTGGGTTTTGATGTTTTCCCGAACGTGTGCGCATGCGCTTGCGTAAGTCAACCCCAGCAGGACCGTGTCATTTTGTGACCTGGAGTCGCTTTCTCTCGCCTTAATATTGAAGCTGTATTTATTTAAACACTCGAGTTACTATACGCGAATATGCAGTAAAAGGTCTCATCTCCCTGACTGTGCTCTCATACACACTCACGCACTCACGCACGCCTATATACACTCACACGCTGTGAGATAATAGAAAGTATATATTGGGGTCTGCCCCCAGGTCCTGGCACGAAGCTCCTGAAACCTGGTAATTTCCGAAGTGGTAAGATCACTAGGAGCACCTTTAGTTCTAATGTTTGGTCTTTGGCCCCAGTTCCTGGCACAGGGCTCCTGAAACCCTGCTAATTTCCTGGGTGAGGAGTGTCTTTGTTCTGATGAGGTGACTCTGGGAGGCACCTGGGTGGCTCCTAATGACGGCTGGTCACCAGAAAGGACAAGCCATGGTCAGAGGCTGGGGATGTTCAATGCCACCCCAGAAGGAAGGAGGGCTGAACATGGGGTTCACCAAACGTGCCTAGTGAGGCAGCCTCCATCAATCCCAGCAGCGTGGGGGTCGGGGAGCTTCCGGGTGGGTGAGCACGTGGGAGACCTGGGAGGTGGCGCTTCCATGGGCCCCACCCTCCCCATGTCTCCATCTGCGTGTTCATCTGGGTCCTCTGTCACATCTTTTTCTAGTAAACCAGTAACGGAAGCGTGTTTTCCTAAGTTCTGTGATGCCCTCTACCAAATCAATCGACCTGAGGAGGGGGCCGTGGGAACCTGACTTATGGCCAGTCAGTCAGAAGCACAGGTGACAACCTGAACTGCGACTGGCTTCTGAAGTGGGGCGGGAGCAGTCCTGTGGGGATGAGCCCTTAACCTGCGGGATCTGGCGCTGTCTCCAGGTAGGCAGTGTCAGAATGTAATGGCAGATCACCCGGCTGGTGCGGAGAATTGCTTGGTGTAGGGGAACGCTCCCCCGCACATCTGGTGACCAGAAGTGTCAGAAGTGAAGTGTTTTGTGAAAGTATAAAGGACACACACAAGAAACAAAGACAACAGGGGAGGGAAAGGGCTGGGTTGTTTTCCTAACTCTCACGACCACACACACACACACACACACACACACACACACACACACTCACACTCATGCACACACACACTCACAACCTCGCACACTCGCACACACTCACGCACACATGCACACACACTCACACTCACACACACACTCATACACACACACTCACACACACACTCACACATTCATACACACACACACACGCACATGCACTCACACACACATTCATACACACACACTCACACACACACACGCACACGCACTCACACACATTCATACACACACACTCACACACACATTCATACATATGCTCACACACACTCCTGTTCATCAGCCCATCACTTTTTTTTTTTTAAGGGCAACTAATATGAGTTTCTTGCTTCTCCTTCCAGAGAGTATTTGCATAGAATAACAAATAATGTTTGCATGCTTAATCCCCCCACTTCCCAATGCTCACCATCCAACTGACTCTCCCGCACTTGCACTTGGTGGCAGCCACATCCTGGAAGCCACGTCTCCCTCTCCCGTCTGCTGGCGGTGCTCCTGCACACGGACGGGCCCTGGGTGCTGTCTCTTCCCTGGGGACCTTTTGCTGTCACACGCATGCACCAAGCACAAGAGCACATTGTAGGAAGTGTTCCCAGAAGTAAACTGCCGGGTCGGAGGGCTTGAGCATTTATAACTTGCTAGGTCCTCCTCCGTGTGGGATGATCTAACTTCCACATCGATTGTTCATGTAAAACAACGCAGATGAACGTGACGTTGTGTGTGTCCTATATTAGCGAGAACACATGTGTGAGGTGCTTTTAATCTGTCCTGCCGATACTGAAGAGTGCCGCCGGCCATGGGAGCCGGTCAAGAAAGTGTGCAGAGCTTCTTTTCCAAGGGGCGAGTGCATATGTATGTATTCTTAACATTAACTCACTTTCTACGTCTGTTGCTACGCTTTCTGTGAGCATCCAAGTGTCAGAGCGAAATGGAAAAACCACTTGAGGCGACACAGTTCACATACTGTTTTGGGCACTTGAGATTTGCTAAGAGGGCAGATATAAGTGTTTCTCACCACAAGAAGGAAGGAAGAAGGAAAAAATGAGGGAGGAAGGAAGGAAGGGAGGAAGGGAGGGAAGGAAGGAGGAAGAATGGTAACCCTGTGAGGTGATGGATATGTTAATTGACTGCAGTGATCATTTCACTATGCATAGGGGCATCAAAGCACCTAGCTGTACACCTTGAATATATACAGTTTTTATTCGTCAATTAAACCTCAGGAAAGCTGAAAAACATTCCTAATGCTTAAAGCAAAGCCTGCCTGAGACCAGCTGCATCGCTGGTGATCACCTGTCACCTTTTCCCAGTTAGCGTTTGAATGCAGATAGTTGGAAGGGGAAAAAAAATCCCCCAAACTATCCGCAGATCAAGAACGGAATGTCTCCCTTACCTTCTACCACGTCAGTGTCAGTTTTATTTTTAATTTTCGAAGTATCTTTAATTCTGGTTACTTTAAAATTTTTAACAGATTCTGTTTTTTAGGGTAGATGGTAGAGTCCCCATCCCCCCACAGTTGCCCGTTTTTAACACCCTGCATTCCAATTGAGCCAGTGTTGGTACATTATTATTAATGCAAGTCCTTAGTGACAGCAGGGCTCACGCCTGGTGCTGTAGACAATGCACAATGTATTTACTTTTGGACCGTGGGTTTGCAGACATGTATAAAGACAGGTCTCCATCCTCACAATATCCCAGAGTTGGTTCACTGCCCTACAAATCCTCTGTGCTGCGTGCCCTCCCCCAGCCCCGGGCGACCACTCATCTTTTTACTTAACCGTGGTGTTGCCTTTTACAGAACGTCTTGTATATTTGGAATCATACGTTACGTAGCCTTTACAGATTGACTTTGCTCTCTTAGTGAGGTGCGTTTTAAGCTTTTCCCCATGTCTCTTCCTGGCCTGAGAGCTCACTTCCTTTTAGCTGAATAGTACTCCGTTGTCTGGCTGCGGTAGGCTTGTTTATCCACTCACATCACACTTGGCGAGCGCACAGGTGACATGTGGGGTCAGTCATCACAGAAGCATTGGGAAATAATCAGACCACGGCTGGTATTTCACGGAGGAATGTCAGCCACGCTGTCCAGTGAGTTGGGCTGCAGCCGGGAGGCGACAATAAGCCTGAGAAAAGCCGGGGCCTCATTTGACACTCTGAGCCCACACAGTTTTACATAAGCCCCTGGTTAATCCAAGAAGACGTCCACTCTGAATACCCACTTGTGTTCTCCCTCACACTGAAGGGTTCTCAGAATTCGGGGTTGTGGCTACCTCTCGGGAGAGAGATGAGGGGGTGGGATGGGGAGGGACTTACTCTGTCTACATAAAGTTTTATCTCTAAACAAAAGAGCTGTGGTTGTTTCACCTAAACGGTGAATTTAGAGGCTGAGTGTTACACCAGGTACTCAACACATCCCTGGGCGCTCTGCCAGGTACAGGGGTTGGGGGAGGGTGAGGTGGGGGAGAGAGAGACAGGGGGAGAGAGAGAGACGGGGAGAGAGAGAGAGAGAAAGGCGCGGGAGAAAGAGAGAGATAGTCGACTTGCTCAGAGCGATTGTTGAAAGAGCATTTTTCAAAAAACCTTTTATCTTACTCATTTATTTCTTTAAAATAGTCTTATCAAGCTATAATTTGCATACCATGAAATTCACCCTTTTCAAATATTCAATTCCATGGTTTTCGTGTAGTCACGCATATGTGCAGCCATTACTGCAGTCAAGTTTAGAATATTTTTATCACTTCAGGAGGAAGTCTTAAACTACCGCCCCCTACCGACCCTCCTACGCCTCCCCCAGGTCCTAAGCAACCACTAGGATACTTTTGGTCTTTGTGGGTTTCCTACCCTAGACATTTCATAGAAATGGCATCAGAGAGTATGTAGCACTTGTGACTGGCTTCTGTCTCTCAGCACACTGTCTTCAGGGTCCCCTCACGCTGTCCCTTTCATGGCCGAATAGTATTCCACTGTGTGCATGGACCATAGACTGTGCGCCATCTGTTGACGGGCACCCAGGTTGCTTCCACCTTTTCAAGGCTCCTGTGAGCAATGCTGCCGGCGAACACCTGTGAACAAGCCGTGTCTGTTTTCAGCTATTTTGGGTAAAGAGCGCTTTCTAGCAGGAAAGAATAGCTTGTCGGCGTCCCTCGTGTGTGGTCTGCGCCTGGGGAGAGGGAACCCAGCACTGCCACCTCCAAGCCTGTGTGTCCTGGCAGAGGGTGCGGCTCACGGGACAGTGGGGACAATTGTCCGAAGCTCACCGAGCGTCTCCCTTTGTGCAGTTCGCCTCTACGGACCCAACTTCATCCTTCAGGTGTACTCGTCCCAGAGGAAGTCCTGGCACCCCGTGTGCCAAGACGACTGGAGTGAAAACTACGGGAGGGCGGCGTGCCAGGACATGGGCTACAGGTGAGCCCGGGGCCCCGCGGCCTCGGGGTGGCGCTGCGGGGCTGTGGTGGCGGTGACAGGCAGCAGAAACGTGAGACCAGTGCTTGTCTCTGTTCCCCTGCCCTCCACACACACCCCTGCCAAAAGCTGTCTCCTTTCCAAAGCTGATCAGGGAAACCAGCAGATGGGACTTTGCCCATCACATCCACCCCTGCTCTCTCCCTGAGTCCGCTGAGTGTCGCCCCTGCCACCCAGCCCTGCCTTGACCTCCATCCACTCCTGGTTACTGAGGACCATCCAGCGCTGTGGTCAGCAGGGTCCAGGATGCTGACCGAGGGCCTCCCTGGTGGGGTGTGGGGGTGGGGGGGTGAGTGGGGCAGGCTGGATGGGGGAGGCGAGCAGGGACACCTGCATGACCTTCACAGCATGCATGCAACCTTCGCTGCATGCACGTGGAGGCACTGAAGGCTTTTGAGCAGGAGAGAACTGCTCATGAGACATATGTAGGAGAATTCGTTCCTGCACACAGCCACAGGGGAGGGGGCAGGAGGGAGGGAGTCCCCCCCCCCGGAGTCCCCCCCACACAGAGAGTCCCAGCCAGGGCTCACCGAAGCCTCTCTGGGGAGTGCTAGGCTGCCCTCTGGCCTTGCGGGGAAAGACTGCGTGATTTTGTTACCACCTTCTCTTCCGTGGGGGTGACCCAGTGTGACTTCCATGCCATTCTAGGGTGTTCTCTATATGCCAGTTCTCAAAATGAATGACCTCTTGATAAGAAAGTTGGCATCTCAGCTGGTGAAATACTTCAAAATGCCACCCCCACATCGCAGGGCCGAATGACACAGTGAAGCCGCCATCATGGTTCAGGACCTGTATCTATACCTGGGGGCGTTTTAACTCCTGTACATTTTGTTAGGTCGTATGTGCTCACACTTCCTTGTTCTCATCATTTCTTTACCCAAACCCAAACTAGATTAGAAACAGGACCGACAGGGGACTTTTACCTGACACTTCTGGGTTATGGGATTGAAAGAGGGTTGTAATAGTCATTGGATTAGAATTTGGGATTTCATTTTCCAAAATGCTAAAGGCGTTTCTCTTAATCCGAACACCATACAAGAGACATACTGCGATAGCATCAGATGTGTGACTGCTTACCACTGACCATCATTTTAAATACGGTTTTCTGCCTCTTGTAGGAATAGTTTTTACTCCAGCCAAGGAATAGTGGATGACAGTGGGGCCACCAGCTTTATGAAGCTGAACGTAAGCGCCGGCAACACCGATCTCTATAAGAAACTCTACCACAGGTAGGGGTGATTTCTTTTCTCCTTGGAAACGATATGAGTGTCTGGGGGCGTCCTGGGGAACGGGTGTCCTGAGTCTGATTTCTCTGAGCTGTGACGCCAGGCGTGGTGAGCCTCCCATCACGAGGAGGTGGGACTCCAAGCAGGACCATCACCCTGAGCGGCTCGGGGTTCCTTCTGGGGAAGCGGCTCAGGTGCCAGGTAGGCGCCGTTTCGTTTGTGCCCCCTGCCCTCAATGCTGTTGCATGACACTGCAAAACTGAGAGTCCACATTGTTGATTTTCTTCACACTCTAGACCTTAGAGATGTCCCTACTGCATGTCGGGGAGTGTCTCTAGGAATCCGGGAGAGCACCTCGGGGTCCCAGCGGGGTGACCAACTCATCCTGGTTGCCCAGGACTTTGCCGGTTTCAGCACTGGAAGTCCCACCATCCAGGAACCCCCTCAGTCCCAGGCAGCAGTGAGGGTTGGTCCCCAGCCCCAACCCCAGTGACAGAGGATGCCCAGTGTGGAGTAGGGAAGGCGAGAGCTGGGGAGGGCGAGGGCTGGGGAAGGCGAGGGCCGGGGAAGGCGAGTGGCTAGTTCAGTTCAACCAACGTTCCTGTGCCTCCAAGCTGACTTGTGGTCCTGGGTGGGTCACCGTGTATCCTGTGGATGGAAATAAACCCAAAGAACAGGTCACATGATTGATGGCTTAACTGGTTAGGAGATTGGGGGAGAAGGGTGGGCTTAAACTACTCGTTTTGTTTTGCTTGTGTTTAAAATGCTTCAGTCTTCCTAGGATCATTATTATCTGGACGTTCTCTGGTGTAAAAGACAGTGTCCTTTGCACAAGACTTCCTGGGCCCCCAGGTCCCTGTCACTCCTCCCCAGGTGGCCAGCCAGGCCATCACCTCCCCACCTGCCAGGTGCTGTTTTGGGGGAGGATGAGCTAATCACGCAGCCCCTCCTTTCCTGTGAGTGGGAGGCTGGCAGGTTTGCATTCCTGGCGGCCTCTGGCTGAGGTGTCCGGGGCACTGACTTCCGCGGAGCCTGTCTGTCTCAGGGGGAATGTGACAGGGTGAGCCCAGGAGGAGGGGTGTGCATGGCCAGGTGGACCCATCAAAACAGCAAGGCTGTGGTTTGCTCACCAGAGAAGCTAAACACAGGTGCCTGGGCTCTTTGTAAACGCTGAGTGTTTCTTTGTCTTCCGTGGTTACACGGATTCAGGGCTGAGCAGTGGAGGGAAGGCTGCCAACCCTTGGTGAGAGCCTTGGCGTCTCACAAGGTGGCTGGTGCATATGGAGGAAAGCGGTCACCACCTGGCACGTGGTGTCCTGTATACGTGGCAGGGTGGAGGACGCCTTTCCTTTTGCTTTCCGAAGGCGTCCTTTGGTCCCGATCTCTCTGCTCCTGGTGGGGCTGGCCTGAGGGGCCGCTGTGTGTCCAGATGCCGCTGTTTTCGTGTAAGGAGAATAGACCTTACGGTTCTTAGAAAACATCTCCTCATGGGCATATGTCTCCTCTTGGCATGGCCGATACCCTCAGCCAAAGACCACCAGGACCCACCTGCCGTCTTGGGAACCGCGAGGCATCTCAGTAGGAAGGTGTCGTAAAGGACTTATTTAGGATTTGGGCTTCTGTTGGGTCATTTCGGGGAAGGTTCCAAGAAGCAGGGCTTTACCGTGGATTGGATGCCGTCAGGAAGCGAGGGTGACTCCTGGATTGGTAGCTTAATGTTTTTTTTTTGAGATGGTGGGTGGCGTGAAGCCAGGCCCCTCTGGGACTGGCAAAGGAGCCGCAGTCACTCGTGCTACTGCCGAGGGAGGGGGCTGACGGCCGCTGTGATTGGACCAGGTTCACGGTGTGTCTGTCCGGACAGGACGATGCAGAGGGTTTGTTTGTGTCCTGCCGCATTTCCAACAGTGGTCGGGTCCGAAGCTGGTGCCCCAGGAAATTGCTGGTGTTCAGTGGAACGTGGCCAGCTGTGAACGCCTGGATGTCAGGACAGTTTCTCGCCTCGGTGCACGAGGAGGAGAATTCACTTTCCGACAGAAGGCTTAATTATTCTTTTTCCTTTGTCACCTGCAATGTTTGACTCCCAAACGAGAGACTTTTCTTCTGCTTCCGGGCAAATACTTGATTGTATTGTTTTCTGTGCAAGTAATGTAAAGCAGTCATAGGAAACCAAAGTCTACAAATGGCTTCCTGCCAACATGAGAGGATGATTTGCAACCCCAAGAATAAAAACAATGGCTGACATTACTGCGAGCTTACTCTCACAACCACCTACGGGTTGGTGGTGCTGTTATCAGCCCATTCTGCAGATGGGGAAACTGAGGCACGGAGCGTTTAAGTAACTTACCCGTGGCCACCCAGCTGGGGTTTGAACCCCGTCCTCAGGGTCTGCTCTTCGCCACTGTCCCCCGTGTACGTTTACTCTCCATATTCGAGCCTTCAATCATGGACCCTTCTATGTCTGAGGAGGCAGGGGAGTGAGGACATCACAAGAAAATATTCCTTTCTAAGTATTTTGAGAGTCAAGTGTCACCTCATTTATTGTGACCACAGTTTCCCCTCTTCTTTTTTAGCGATGTCTGTTCTTCAAAAACAGTGGTTTCCTTACGCTGTATCGGTAAGTCTTGGCTTTCCTTTGTGCTTCTAAACAGGAGACATCCTGTCCCTTCAGACGTGTATGCCCTGTGTCTTTGGGGATGTGTGCCCCCCCCAGGTGGTATTGGAGGCCTGAGGGTGCCCCGCTCTGTGTTTGGATCACTTGTAGTCCCAAACCTTTGCTCAGTAAGAAAGGCCCCGTCCCTGTGCTCCCTTCTGTGGGACGGCCCTGTCCTCGTCCCCATGAGGTCTTCATCCTGAAGCTCAGCTTTGCTCATTGAAGAGGTGAGGCCAGCAGATGCCCCTGGTGCACACACGTCCCAGTGGTCCTGGCAGTAACTTCCCAGGCGGGCCCTGCTCACGCTCCTTTAGGTACCAGGAGGGCATGGTGCCCGCCCCGCCCTCCAGCCCTGCTGGCCTCCTCATGGGGCACGAGACCTGCACACACGAGAAAAGCCCGCCTCCGCTTTCTTCTGGAATCTTGGGCCTCTGAGCGTTCAGTCCCTCTAAGACTCAAGGACATCCCAGGGACTTTGTTATCCAGGACGCCCAGCTAGGTGTCTGCAGTCACACAGTGTCGGCAGAAGTTCTGTTTCCTGGGGTGGCTCAGGGGTGCTGGAGGGGTGTCCTCTCCCCCCACAAGCAAAAAGAGACCAGAACACGTTCTCTAAAAGTCAGACCCCAGACAAACAGGATGAGAGGTGGCAACAGTCGTCTACCAGCCTGGCGGGACCTTTGGGATGGGGGTCGTCTGGGCGCACGCTGCGTGGTGGGCATCGGGATGGGGCTGGGTGGCCCGGATTCTGCTCACCAGACACTGAGTTGTGCTTGTCGCCTGCAGAATGTGGGGTCAACACGAAGATGAGCCGCCAGAGTCGGATCGTGGGTGGGACGAGCGCGGCCCTGGGGGACTGGCCCTGGCAGGTCAGCCTGCACGTCCAGGGGGTCCACGTCTGCGGAGGCTCCATCATCACCCCCGAGTGGATCGTGACAGCGGCTCACTGCGTGGAAGAGTATGTTCTCGGTGGGCATCAGGGCGCCTGGGTTTGGAGGTGGTTCTGTGGCTGTGACCTTGAGCGACGCCTTTGACCTCTTCAAGCTCCGGTTTCCTGGTGTATAAGTGGAGGTTCTTTTTTTTTTTTAAAGATTTTTATTGGGGAATTGGGGGATGGGAACAGCGCTGGGGAATTGGGGGAAGGGGAACAGACAAGTTGCTGTCCTTTTGTTCTTCAGTCTAGTTGTGGAGGACGTTGCTTCACTGGCCCAAGTTGGCACCATCATTGTGCTCTTCCTGGGTGAGGCAGATCAGTCGCCGGCTTCTGGACGGCCGCTCACTGCAGCTGCTGGCTGCTCACGCTGGCTGCTGGCTACACACGGTAGCCCATGGCAACCCACTGCAGCAGGGACTGCAGCCTACGCCGTCGCCGGCGACTCATGGCAGCCCAGCTCCAGGTTGAGCTGTTGTTCAGCATCTTAGCTGTGGAGGGCAGTGTCACTGGCCCTCAATGTGTGGGATCTGAACCGGGGCCCTCTGGCGTCCCAAGCCAGCTGTTAACCGACGCGCCACTTGGCCGGCCCCTATAAGTGGGGGTTCTAATGGCACCTGCTTCGGGGAGTCAGTGGGAGGGCAGATGAGCCAATGCGCGTGAAGCATGTGGTCAGGCCCCCCCTTCACAATTATTCACGGGGTGTCCACTGCATGCAGGGTTCTGGGCACAGAGGGTGGGACCAGGGTGTCACAGTCTCCTGCTGCCCTCTCTGGAGCCCTGATCTCCCTTGGATGGCTGACTCTGGAGGAGGCACACTCAGACACGCTCAGGGTCCTCACTGCCCTGCCGGAAGGGTCCCCATGGCCTCAGTTAATCGTCCTTGGTCACAGTGTCGCCACTCAGACAGGTTGGGAATGGCGAGGGGAGGCATAGCTTAGAGCGTTAGCTTTTGTGGCAGATACTGTCCCCTCCTTTTTTCTTTTTTGGTCACACATCTATTCTGGAGAAAACACTCACCAGCGCTGGGCCTGGCTCGGCTGTGTGGCCTCGGGCGGTTCCCTCAAGGCCACCTGCCCGTAGCATCAGCACCTTGAGACAGGTGTGCTGTCTCCTCCCAAGGGCTGCTGTGCAGGTCGAAGGAAGCGGCGTTTAGTACCCTCCTTTCCCTGCACGGGGCCCTGATGGCTTGCTTATATGTGGGGTCCTCTTAAAGGGAAACCCCTACCTAAAAGTAACGCCTTGATGGCTGGCGGACCTGGAGTCTGTTCATCACTATGCATGTATTAAGCCCCCACTGTGTGCCAGGAAACGCCGTAGCATCTAAAGATAGTTAAGACCCAAGTGGGCTTTGAAACCTCAGCAGGCATTCAGGCCCAAGAAAAAGTGTTCTCGGAATTGTGAGGATTTGAGGGGGGGCAGGCACAGGAGTGATCCATGAAGCAATGGGCGAGGCTGTGGGGCCGTGGGGACCGAGGACAGCCTGTCACCTCACCAGTCTCTGTGGCTTCTGGTGAGCGGTGTCACCCCTGGGACACGTGGCTCCCACCGTCGCATGAGGGTTTCCTGCTTGTGGTTCTGATCTGCTGAGCGCCATTCATCTTTGTCTTCCAGACCTCTTAACAACCCACGGTATTGGACGGCCTTCGCAGGGATTTTGAGACAATCTTTCATGTTCTATGGAAACGGGTACCGGGTGGAAAAAGTGATTTCTCATCCGAATTATGACTCGAAGAGCAAGAACAATGACATCGCGCTTATGAAGCTGCAGACCCCTCTCACTTTTAATGGTACGTACCTTGGTGTGTGGGGCTCGGGGGTGCGAACAGTTTTGGCCAAATCTTAAGGAGAGGTTGATTGGAAGTAGAACACGCTGTGATAAATGGAAGTGAGAGATTTGTGTTGAGTTAGGGTGGCGTGCTGATAGAAGGGTGCTCAGCAGAGGCCAGATTACCCTAAAATGTGCCCGACATCGAGGGAAGCAGTAACCACCACGTTTTGCTTCTGTGTGGAGTGATGACCTAATCAAGGTGTGAAGGGCTAGAAAAGGGTTTCACCCACAGCATCGCTGACGTCTGGGGCCGGTAATCCTCTGTGGTGGAGGTTGTCCTGTGTGCCGTAGGGCGTTTAGCAGCACCCTGGCCTCTGCCCACAGGTGCCAGGAGCTACCCCCCAACTCCCCTCACCAGGTATGACAAGCAGAGATGTCTCCAGTTGAGAACTGGTCTATAATTTCTAAAGACACTTTATTTTTTCACATAAATCCAGGAAATAAAATACTTCAAAAAACAACTTAAGACAATAAAAAACAGACTTTCCCTTAGCTTCTTATTTGGGCCCCAAGAATCCAGGATGCCCCAGCCCCAGGTAGATACAGAAGAAGCAAAACTCCATCCCTCCCCTCAAGGTGTTTGCATTCAAGTTCAGAAGCAACGCAGACATAGGAAACCATCTGTGGGAAGTACCTCTAATACGGGTCTCCCAGGTGCAAGCGGGCAGCACCCATCAGCTCTTTGGCCACTGCCACAGGTGTGTCTTTTCCACCCTCTCTCACCTGGAGACATTGTGTATTTGTAATTTCTATTTCTTTTGTTTGTTTGTTTTGAGCTGAGCCATCCTGCCACCTGTTGGCAGCTCAGCGGCAGCTCAGCTCGGGCCGGCAATCGAACCGCTGTTGCTCAGAGCTCACACTCTTGAGCGAGCTCTTAACCAACTGAGCCCCTCGGCCGGCTTTAATTTCTATTTCTTGAAGACTAAGTTTGAAGAAACGTTAATTGTGTATTTTTGGAAACAGAGCTAGCAAATAATTCTACTTGTAAGTCACATAACTTATAAATTCCCGAGGGAAATGTCTTGCCTGTTAGGAGGGGTCTGGCAGGGATGTAAAATCGGGGTGCCAGGATCCGTTGGAATCGGGTTTCCCTTGGGCAGGACAGTGGTGGTGCCAGGCCCAGCGGTGCACACGTGGGGAAGGTCCAGGTGGAGACCGTCACCCGTGGCCTTCGGCTGGACCTGACCAGCTCATGGTGCCTTTTCTTCTCAAAACAGACAGAGTGAAACCCGTGTGTCTGCCCAACCCGGGCTTGATGTTGGAGCCCACACAGTCCTGCTGGATTTCCGGGTGGGGTGCCACCTACGAGAAAGGTGAGGCTCGTGGGCACGTGGGTCTGCAGGTCCCGTGGAACAGAGCTTGAGTTTGAAGTGGGAAGTCTGGGTTTCAATCGTGGTCCTACTACTAAATGATTGGATGACTTTGGGCAATTCCCTCAGTCTTCGTGCCTTGGTTTCCCCATCTGCTAAATGGGGGAAACCCTACCTGCCCTACCTAATACACCACGTTCATATTAAGATCAAACGGAACAATGTGTGGAAACTACTTTTTGAAGGATAAAGGCTGTATCGGTGTGAGAGGCATAAAATCACCCCGTGTTTGGTTCCCATTGTTGCCAAAGAGCCACCCTGGAAGTCACTGCCCTTTGATGGCTGAGAGATAACGGCCTCGGGGAAAATGGGCTCGCATGACCAGTGATGGCTGGCTGCCGGCTGCCCAAAGCCTTTGTCCTCCTGCCCTGATTCCACAGAGAGGGAGAAGCAACTAGACACCCAGCAAAGGCCAGCTTCCTGAAGTTCTAATTTGCTTTCATCTCACCTAACATTTTTCAAATGGAAAAATTTTGTGTGAAATCTGGCTGTTTCATTTTTGTGAAGTGTTGGAAGTGTTTAGTGGTGTAAAGAAGCGTTTTGTATATTGTTTGCATCCTTCGAAAAATGTTTAGGGCACACACACAACAAATCCTTTAGAACGAGGTGCAGAGTACAAGGGCTGGGAGATGTGGGGGCATCTGGGGAGACAGTGGCGGTGGGGGTTCTCCTGCCATCTCATCTAAAGGAAGTTACTGTGGTTGAGCCTCACAGCTACAAGCAAGGCTTCATAGCAGCAGAGATGAAACAGAAAATCAACAGATGCTTGTGTAGCACCTACTACGGTGGGAACAAATGCACCAGTGAACAAAATAAGAAAGAAATTTCTGCCCTTGGAAACTTGACCTTCTTGTGTGGATGTCTGGGGCCGGATGTGGTCAGACAAACAGGAAACTGAACCACGTGTTTTCCAATAGCAGAGGGTGTGACAGTCAGGGCCAGACGGGTTTGAAGGCGGGGGGTGGTCAGGGAAGGCTTCTTGAAAGAGGTGACATTTGAGCTGAGTACTGAATGACGAGAATGTTTAAGGAACAGAAGGGCTATGACGTGGTGTAATGGCTGTATGGGGAGTCAGGGAAGGAGTGGGGGCGAGAGTAGACAGAACAGGATGGTGAGGGGCCCTCCGTGACAAGATGGCGGCTCAGATCTGGGTGGTGGGCATGGAAGTGGAGAGACCGAGCCCATTGGGCCGCCAGATCTGCTGGTGGAATGAATGTCAGTGGGACAGAGGGTGAGAGGTCCTGGGTGGGAGGATGGCCTCGAGTTTTGTGATGGGAGCCCCCGGGGAGGGGGGTGGTGCCACTGCCTGAGCCAGGGGCTATGGATGGTGAGGCTGTGGGGCAGAGGGGTGTCCCTGCCAGGTTCTGATTCCGCACTGTAAGCCCGTGGTGCCCAGACAACATCCACATGGAGGTAGACAGGTGGGAGAGAAGAATAGGGACACCAAGTGCCCACAACTGTTTATAAGAGTTCGAGAAGTGAGGCAGCGCATGGAGGGTGGCGTGGGGTCGAGAAAGGGCGGTTTAAGGTGAGAAACACAGGAGCTCCTTGTGCACCCGGGATGGTCCCGTGAGGAACGAAGAAAATTGATCCTGCAGAACCAAGTCGCCGGGTGATGAGAGAGGGTGATTCTAGAACACAGGTGGGGGTCCATAGCTCCCGAGGCAGGACGTCCCCCCCGGAAACCAAACCCTAGAGATGCACGAAGGATGCCAGCCGGAGGATGAGCCGGGTGCCCTGGGCTTGGGAGCAGGAGGGCAGGAGCGGGAGGGATGTGGCCACCTGTCTGGTGTCTGCAGTGGGACCTCTCCAGGGCGAAGTCCCTCTTCCTGTGAGAGCTGCTGTCAGCACTGACAGTATCGTCTGTTTTAGGGAAAACGTCGGAGGTGCTGAACGCCGTCAGGGTTCCCCTCATTGAGCCCTGGCAATGCAACAGCAAATACGTCTACAATAACCTGATCACGCCCGCCATGATCTGCGCAGGGTATCTGCAGGGGACCATTGATTCCTGCCAGGTAATTGCGACCGTATTCAACCTTTGGGCCTTGCCTACCCCACTGAGTGGATGAGGAGAACCCCTCTGCCCCCACGGGAGACAGGGTCCCATGTCCCTGGGACACGGAGCCAGCTCTGGGGCAGCTGTGGGGAGTGATGGCAGCAACGGTAATGGTGTGAATGCTTTTGTATCACGAACACTGCCCATGTGCCGTGCCTCCTCCAAAAGGATTTTATTTTGTCAGCGTGTCCGTGGAACTGAAATAAGTATTTTGTCAATTTTAAAATACGGACACCAGTTTATTTAGTAACTCTTAGCTGGCCGACGTAGACTAAAATTAGTCGCTGATCTAGTTTCTGTGGGATTATGTTACTGTGACCTCCTTGGAGGAAACGTGAAACCCACATACTCCCACTCATAACTGAGGCACCCCCCATCCCCGCTCTGTGCAAGGTCAGTGTGGCTGTGGTCTGAAGTTCTGCTCTCCGTCCCTCAGGGTGACAGTGGCGGTCCTCTGGTCACTTTGAAGAGCAGCGTCTGGTGGTTGATTGGGGACACCAGCTGGGGGTCTGGCTGTGCCAAGGCTAACAGACCAGGAGTGTACGGAAACGTGACAGTATTTACAGACTGGATCTATCGACAAATGAGGGTAACTTTCCCACCTTCTTTCTGATTGAGGTCTGTCACTCATGTCAAAGCCCAGATGCCTACGAGGTGTGGTCCCACTGCAGGAAGCTAATGCTGACCATCCATCCCCATCGGCGTGGTGTAAACGCTGCCTCCCTTAACCACGGTTTGCAGCTAGCATCCCCCGACCCCCGGAGTTCACCGTCATTGCTGACGGGGCTCCACTTGGCAGGCTAATTCTGCACTTGGGCCTGTGCTCTGCTGACCACACTTACTTCTGGCCCCACCTGCCACCCAGCCTTTCACGCCGTGCTCTGGCCGGGTACGGCTTGCTCGCTCACACTGGACATACAGTCAGTCAACCCTTTGGCGTGGCTCATTGAATCAAACATCCGGTGATGGGCAGAGAGCAAAGGGATGCAAAGTAGCTAGCTGAGTCGTGACGGTGCCCGGTCGTTTTCTGGGCTATTGAGTGCTCCCTGATCAAGTCCCCGTTTGGGGGGTGAAGGAGCAGCTGGAGCTCTCTGGTACCAAAAAGGCTGTGAAGACCAGGTCCCAGGAGCTCCCTGCAGTCCTGCCCACTCAGACTCCCAGCCTGACCACTTCTGAGCAGAACCCTCCCCTCGGGCACTGCCCAGCCCTTGGGCCACAAGATCGCTCTCCATCTCAAGGGCTCCAGGACGGGCAGTCTTCACCCTTTCTAAGGCCGGGTAGCTGGTGAAAGAGAAGTTCTAGCTAGCCTCCTCTCAAGTCTCCGGTCTGCGGAGGGAGGGGCCAGGCCAGAGGGCATTGCCTGACATGGCCCCCAAGTGAAACCATGGAACCTAACACCTTTAAACGACCATAGTGGCTGGCCAGTCCACCCCTGGCAAAGGGCTGGGTGCTGGAAATAGACCACGGAACTGTCCTGGGAGGGGCTGCACGGTGGAGAGAAGCTGAGGGCTGGGATAGTCCTGGACAGGGTAGGGGTCCCCGACAGCTCAAGGGTGGTGAGCCAAGCGAAGGGGTGGACTGTGTGTCCAGTGTGGGAGAGAGCAGGGCATGCCGGACCAGAGCTCGGAGTGAAAGGCTGGGAGCAGGAGAAACTACAGGTAGACAGCCAGGATGATGAAACGCTTGCCTCTCGGTGGCTAAGTCAAGCTTGATTTTCCCAGGGAAGGGCTGTGTCCCAGCCGTGCTAAGCGGTTTGCTTCCTCACACACCCCACGTTCCCGCCTCCCTCCACGCCTGGCATTGTCAGCTGGACTCCTTCACCTTCATGCTGTAGAGGGGGAGAAAACTCCCTTTGTCCTATGAAGCGTGCCTATTCGGTGTATAAGTGCCTCGCGTCAATCTGGGGGGAGTGGGGGGATGATTTTCTACGTTTGTTTGTCTTAAGAAAATAACAGCATTTCTTTTTCCTTTTTGAACAGGCAAACAGCTAATCCACACAGCCTTGTCCTTGATGCCATCCTACAAGGAAATGAAAGGGCTGGTTTTTAATTCCCTGTGCATAATGTATTTTTAGAGATGATTCAAAGGTCCTCTCATTTTTATTAAATAGTGAACTTGACTGTCTTTGGCGCTCTCCACGGTTCTGTGCAGGCCACAGGTGCTCCCCCAGAGCCCATGCTCCCTGGCCTCTTGTCCAAGACGACTGTCCGGCCGGGCTGGGCGTGGGTGCCCAAGGCAACGCAGAGCAGAGAGGTGCACCCGCCCACTGGGGTCTTCCTTCTGAGCCCATCCGGGGGCCGGTTTTGGATGCACAGGGGGCTGGTGACCTCTCAGCTGCTGGACAGCTTGAGATAGAAGGGAGAAAGCCGGGTGGGACCAGCAGGAGCCACCCTCTGTGGCCATCGCTAGGGAGGACCACCTGGGGTAGCCCCAGGGCCTGTCTCCCTACAAGAATTTTCACTGACCATTTTTAGTGCCTTCTTAGCAGCCCCAGATGGTGGCTGGAAATAAAGGGACCAGCCCTTCATGGGTGATGACTTGATAAGTCACTTGAAAGGGCATCAGAAACCTTTTTTTTCTTCTCGCGGGGGTGAGAGTGTAGACGGAGCCAGACGTGTTCACCCCTGAGCACTGCTGGGACAGGTGGCCACCGCCTGTTGGGTAGGGCTCCGCCCAGGGAGGTCCGCCTTACCCGCCTCCCTCCTCCTTGGTTCTCCCCCCAGCCTCCTTGGGGGTGAGCACTCCCCCATGGTCCTCACAGGGGGGCCGAGTGGGGTGCCATGCTGACCCTCTTCAGGCCCGCTAATCACAGGAAATTGAGGTCACCTGGGGAAATCAGGGATGTGTGATTAAAGATACACTGTTTCCATACGTTACTACCTCAGTGCTCTTGGAATCTTGGCTGTGACAACACCTCTAGTCCTCACACTTGGTTCTGGTAACCATTGTCCTTGCCAAGAATGAATGGTGGCCAATTCGAGCTGCTTTTACAAAGTGACTGGCTCCTAATTTCATGTTCTATCAGTGAGTTTGCTGACGAACAGCACCTGTGCTTGCGACAAAGAACAGAAAGGTGATTTTGGACTCCCTGTGGCCCCTTAGGTTTCCCCTGGGGGAAGGGCCACGCTTGAATTGCCGCGTGGGGACTTGTGAAAGTTGTGCTCTGAGCACTGCCTCCCCCGGTATTCGGCCTCCCCTCACGCACACTGGTTTCCAAGAGTGAAATGATGATTCTGCTGCTGGGACTTAACCTTGCAATGGTAGTTCGTACAGCCCCATTCCCAGGGGGCCGCACTGCACGTGCCTCAGTGACAGCAGTGTCCCCGGGGGCCTTCCAGACACGCAGCACTGAGGTACCTGCTCCTTAAGCCAGATCTCAAAAAGCCTGTCACGCTGAGAATGTGTTCCTTCCTTAGTGCTTCTTTTTATTTATGTGATGCCCCCCCTCCTTTGTCTTCTGTTTTGTATCTTTTTTAAAAGTGTCAAATTCAATTGTGAAATATTGTACAAATAAATTATACATTTTTTTTCCAAATATTTACTGCGTCTTTGGAGCCCTGTTCCACCTCATCTGAGAATGGTAGGGGGGACTCAAATTTTCTGCCATTCTTTTGGTCATCAAAATGCTGCTAGTATTGATTTGGGGGTTACAACTAGATTTTAGCAAGTAAGCAAATTCACAAATGAGGGATTCTTGAATGACGATTGAGCCTACACCTGAAAATGTCCACATGGGCGGTTGACGATCTTGCCTGTTACAGTTTTCATTTTGCACTCACCTTGTGAATGGTTTTTCTTTAGGATGAGGCTGATTTCACGTACAATACTTAGCCAGAATGCTGAGACTAAGGAAATGACTGATATTTGCGTATTTAAACCTTTAGAAAAAGTCAATATGCTTCATACAAAATGAGCCACAATACTAACAGTAAAGTGAACACACGATTGTTAATACAAGTGCACGACCTGCGCTGATTATTCTGTGGGTTCTCGCAAGGTACGACCCCACCTTGACTCACCTCTTGCTGTGTTGTTTCGGGGACAGTCCCGCCTTCGACTGGGCCTGGCCTGTTCCCGACTCTTTCTCTCTGTTCTGTGGTTCCCCTCAACCTGCTCCAGTTTCGGAGCCTGGCTTTGTGAAGAGCCACACAGTCCCTGGTTGGGACCACCACGGCCCCGAGCTGCTTTGGATGAGGTGATGTGTCATGTGAACACCAGAGCGCCCTACCCCCCGTACACCCAGTGTTTTACGAAAAGTGCTGGAACTGAGGCTCCTTCTGAAGTACCAGTTAAGAAATCCACCAGCGTGCCAGCTGCCTCGTTCTACATGAATTCACTCCATGAACAGTGGTGTGTGAACCATCACTTAGCTGTGACGGGGGAGACTGACCTTGTCTCCTTGTCACCGCCTGAAAACCCATGGAACCCCTGGGGGAAAACGGGGGATCACACACAGGGAAAACCAGGTTTCCTGTCGCCTGGTGCAGAATTTGCTGCTGGGACTGGAGTCCTTTCCTGCCAGGCAAACATGCCCCTTGGGGGACCGGTCCAGCTTCCAAAGGCTGGGAGCTTTTGTCCTTGCTTTTGCTCCACAAGGATAGTGATAAAGGCGCATGCCCTGTAGCTTCTGGAGGACACCCAGGAACCCAGGAAGCCATTTGAACACACCCCACAACCGCTAGCATTTACGGAGCACCCGTAGCATGCCAGACCCCGTGTTCCGGAGCAACGGTGGCTTTCGGTCAGTTCAGTTCCCTCCGGCACCTCACCTTGCTCTGTTCTAAACTCAGCTCCATTCTGTGGGTCCACCGAGCCCCAGACTTGCCCGGAGTGAGGGTCCAGGAGTGGACATCATTGATATTCTATCATTTTCTGCACGGGGTGATGAACCTCCAAGCAGGTGTTTTTGATCAGGCAGCAGAATCGGGGAACACAGGTTCGGATCCTGGCGCTGCCTCACGGGGATGCGGGGGAACAACCCCTTGCCTGAGCCCCGCTGCTCTCTGAAACAACCCCTTGCCTGAGCCCCGCTGCTCTCTGAAACAACCCCTTGCCTGAGCCCCGCTGCTCTCTGAAGGAATGCCCCAGAGTGGACTCCAGAGCTGTGTCTCCCTGAGTCCTGAACAGCTGGGAAGGAGAGCACACACCTTCCCCGTGGATGGATGGATGGTGAGGACACGCCTGGGGAGTCCCCAGCCAATACTCGCCCGGTAAATTCTCGATCTGATGTGCTTCATCGCCTTTCTTCCTCCGCCCTCTCTGGGAATACCTGGAAAACCTGAACAGCAAGGAAGAACGCTGCCACCTCTGGCTTCTCTGGTCCCGGCAGCATCTTCTGTGGCTGGTAAGGCCGCCTGGTGCTGGAGTTGCTCAGGCCAGACACCAGGGGGCGCCAGCTCCCCAGCAGCTGGTGAGAAGCTGGGGACACGTGCCTGGTACTGGACTGGGCATGCAGGCACTGCCCGCCTACCCTTGTTCTTACAAGTCTGTGGGTATTGGGATCCACGCCCTTTCAATAGAAGTCATTGGCTCCTGTGAGCGCTCGGTGGTTCAGAGTCAACCTGTGGTGTTCGGCGCCTGGGAGAGGCACAAAGGTGCTGCCCGCAGTGGCTGTCGACTTGAACTTGTTAGATGCCCCTTGTTCCCCTGGCATTCCCTCTTGTGAATCAACTCTCACACTGTCCCCAAACACGGAGCATCGTAGAGTCCCCATGTCAGCAGGGATCTGGGGTGGGTCTGGATGGAGCGGACAGGGTGGCCAGCCCTCCCCGCCCACCCCGACAAGCGGTTGTCCAGCTTGGCCGGACGCCCCCCAGGCACACACAGCTTGAGGCAGCCCTTCTTTCCGGACATCTCGGTGTTACGTGCCCCTGCCGCCCATGCTGGCTGTGCAGTGGGTCTCCTGAAAAGCAGCCGCTCACGGGTGCTCCTCGCCGGCGTGGCTGGCTCACGCGTCATCTCCGCTTGTTCCCCGGCCATCTCTCCTCCAGGCTTGTGATGCTTGAACTCTCCCTTTAAAGGACATGGTACAGGCCCCCACTGCCTCCAGCCACAGCCCGTTGTTCGGTGTCCTGCCCCTGCGCTGGCCGTGGCCAGGTGTCTGTGAGTGTCCGCACACTAGGCTAGATCAAGAAGTCATGACTGTGCTGTGCGCTTCCAGGGCGATTCATGGTGAATACGTGTATGCCACCATTTTTGCTTCTTAGTACCGCCACCCCTCCCCGCCCCCCCGCCCCCCAGCTGGAGCCTCTGCCGCTGGGCGACGACCTCTCCTGACTTGGCCTTTTATCTTCAAGTCCGTGCAGGTACCCAGGGATCCAACAGGCTGGACACGTAACAGCGCACACCACACACGGATGCCATTTGCTTCGTGCTGTTTCATTTTATCTCCCATTCCCCTCAACCTCTTGTAAATAACCAGATCACAATCTTGTACCAAACTCGCTCCTTTGTACCTGGCCCAGCCACAGCAGTTGTGTCCACTCCCCCAGGTTCCTGCCTGCTGTCATTTTCAGGATTCTCCCCAAAATAAAAAAGGTGTCGGAGAAGAGTCTGTTATCAAAGAGTTTATTATAAATCAATGAGGTATGGCTTCTACAGCATTCACACACGTGGCACTAATGATCCTAAAACATCAGCTGTGTGAAAGGTCGTCGAGAAAAACCAGGAAATAGCTCCTACGATGCTCATGTGCATGGGTCTCTGATAAGGCAGGAGAGAGCTCGGGGGGCAGGAACCATGTGAGGGGGACGTCATTTTCCCTAACCAGGAAGATGGCATCATCCGTCCCAACTAACCTATCGCCTTCCCAAGGGCGAGCCTTGAGTTTCAATGCTGGAAACCCAATCGCTCACCACAGCTTCCCAAAAGGTCTGACTTCACTATGGGACGAGCACGGCAACAGCCGGCCACTTCGTGAAATTGGGAACTAAGAAAAGCGCGACTGCGGGGGAAGCTACCGGGTCCCCACGCCCTGCAGACATGCTGTGGAGACGCGGGCGGGACAGAGCCCGGCTTAACCAGGGAATTTGGCGAGCCGGTGCCGAGCCTGTGTCAGGCGCGCGTGCCGCTCTTTCAGGAACCTCCTCTTGTCACTGGTGTCACTGCGTTCCTTCAGGAGCCAGCTGTACTTCTCCTTGTCCTGCAGCAGCTGGAGCATGGAATTCCGCAGCTGCTGGCCGTATGACTGGAGGATGAAGTACTGGATGATCAGAGGGATGTGGCTGGACAGGCGGTTGCTGGCCTCCTGGAAGGGACAGCACACAGAAGGCTTGAGGGGACATGGTAATGAGGAGACCCCCCCATTGCCATGTGAGCACCAAAGGCACCTGGACCCGGCAGGTGCAAGGTGCCCCCGGGTTTCATACCCATCAGTGTCCTCTGCGCTAAGGGCGGCGAGGGGTGACGCGCATGCACACAGCGCAGACCGCGCCCGGCTGGGGCCAGCGGCCAGCTGGGCGCCATAAGCTTGTGCTGACCATGAGATGCTCTGGAAGAGGGTAACAACTGCTCCGAAAGGGGAATGGACCGACGGAGGGCAGAAACTACACTTGCAAATTACTTACAACTCTGTCGAGAAGATTTTATGACTTTTAAAAAAATCAACACTAAAATAATTCAGCAGAACAGAGGCTGGGCTATCAAAGACCACGGAAGGGCGCCCTGTGAGTTCCGTGCAGGTGGAACCATCGTTTCAAGCCTTCCGTCTCCCTCCCCAGCCTCACCTGCTGGTGGAAAGCTTCTCTTTCCGAAAACGGTGATCTCTCACAGGCTGACACGCACTCGTACCTAGCGAGTTCTGTGACCTCTCTGCCTCAGTTTCCTTCTCTATAAAATATGAGCACCTGGACTCAAGGGATGTTTGAAAAGGTTAAACGAGCTAAAACATAAAAGTTTAGGAAAATGACGCGTGGAATGGCGCTCAGTGACCGTCAATTGAGGGTCAGTGAGATGGAGATGGCACACAGGCTGTGTGTCCTAGGCAGATGGTGAGCCAGGGAGGTGGCTTGTCCCCAAATGGAAACGGGGGAAAGGAGAGAAGGGACAGGCTGATGGGAGGCATTCAAGATAGGCATTGGGGGCTGTTGGCGCTGGAGTCTGACATCGGAAAACGGACACAAGCTCAAAGCGATGGCTAATATCTGCAGTGACAAAATCAGGCACCCAAGGTACCTTTTGAGACTTCTAGCATGAACATGGCTGCGAGTCATTTTCTCGTTCTCCTGAAGATCATCCAAAACACCAGCAGTTTTGGTGACAGCAGGAGACAGGTGACACGCCAGCTTTGACCCACGTGTAGCAAAAGCAGTGGCAGTCAGGCAGAGCCACATGCGAGGAGGGGGCTGAGGAAGGGTGGGCAGACAAGGTGGGGGGGACTCCTTTGCTGCAAGGAATCTGGCTGGTGAGCAAGGTCGGTGGCAGAAGTCCCTCCCAACCAGGCTGTGTTTGGGGCACCGTGGAGAGATGCCGCACAAGGGGCCCTCACAGACGGGCCACGTTTTCATGAAACCCTCTCTTTGGTGGCTGAGAAGAAATTTTTGAGTGGCAAACACCAGCTCTGGACCTTTCCCCAGTGCCCACGGGGACTTTGTGCAAATCACTGACCAAGGGGAAAAGCAACTCGCTTAATGATGTGTGTGCTTGGGGCAAGGGAGGGCTCCAAACGTGTCCGCACGTCCTAATCATGGCACCTGAGAACATGTTACCTCTCACTGCAAAGGGCAGCTGAGGGTGCAGGAGGCTGCTGATGAGCTGACGCTGAGATAGGGACACTGTCCTGGATTACCTGGTGGGCCCACACGAAGGAGCCAGGAGGACAGGAGAGTCAGAGGGAGCTGTGGCTTCAGAGGTGGGAGAGGTGCAACCAGGCGGGCTGTGAAGNTGTCAGACTCTTGATTTGATGATACAAGGGTGGCATCTAGCACATACTCTGTTTCATTTCCTTTTCATTGCTGGACTATAAAATCCACTAGGATACAGGTCAGGCTTCAAGGACTTAGCCAGTTAACCAAGATGGATCTGGGGTATTTCAGAGGTGACACAAAGACCTCTCCACACATGCCATGTCCACCTGCTCACTGTGGAAGGACTGCTGATTCTTCTAGAAGCCTCTCATTTGAAATAGATGCTCGCTGGGCTGGGTTCAGTGACATGGAACAGAGCAAATGTACCCTCGTGTCATTAAGTTCTTACTATATCACCTGCCTCCCCAATCATTTGTTTCCAGTGATGCCTTGGACTCACCTTTCTTAAAATTATTTTCTATCACAGTACTCCATTTGTAGAACTCAGTTCGGATTTTGGTAAACAGCCGAGTTTCGTCCTCCTTCACGGGTTCTTCCCCTCCTACTAAAGCGAGGATGTCCTGATTAAATGCATTAATTTTCTGTCAAGAAGAAGAAAAACTTAAGTATAAGCAGTGATATTTCAAAAAGAAACGTCAAGGTGGTTTGGAAGTTGTGTGTTTGCTGAGAGTGGGCGACTCATGCTTTGCTGCCTGTGGGCCAGTGGGACAATGAGAATGAGAAGGCTTGGGCACCAGGCCGCCCCACTCTCCCCTTAAGGCCTTTGGGGTCTTGGGTGAGTCACATGACGAAGGGCCCATCCCACCCCTCCCTGCCCCCGTCCCTCAACCCTGGCTCCTTTCTGGTGGGCGGGAGAAAGAAGTGCATACGGCACACAGCCCCTTTCATATAGTCAGCATGCGATTCTTCAACTCGATGCAATTGGCAATACTCACATCTATGAGAAAGAACATTCTTTCACTTTCGTCTTCTGGTATGTCCGTGCCATAGTTATGTAACTCTTCTGTTATTTTCTGTTGAGACTCCTTTATTTGATTTTCTAACCGGGGCAGAGCTTGCTGAGGAAAATAGAGAGAAAATGATTGAAATACATAAATGTCAACCAGGAATAAAAAGGAGGCCCTGAGCCGCCTTCTGCAAGGGGCAGGACAGCTGTGTAGTACATTGACTTCTGGCTTCTTCTAGAAAGCTTTTCCAGAAGGAACGGACACTGTTGTCCACCCAGGCCCTCTCACTTTCCTGCCCTTGTGCAAACAGCCTCAGAGCCATGCTGAGGCGACCACTCTGTCCGGTTCCTGGGCCCTGGAAAAGCAACAGCAGGAACAGCCCCTGTAACCATGTTACATTAACTCTGCAGGGAGGTCAGAAAGAGCCACGTGTCTAGTGGGTTTTGAAGCGGCCATTGGGGCGATTTGAGAGATTCAACGACGTTCATGTTGTTGTTCAGAGATGAAAGCTGCCGGGGACTTCTGGCTCTAACGGTGCTGGAGACTGCATGTGCTGGCTGACCGCCCCACGGCACACATCTAGAAACACCCCTCTCAATGTATCAGGGGGCTGTCAGGTACAAAAGAGATACCCGGAAGCCAAAGCCGGGCGACATTGGGTACCCAGGGATGCACGATGGAAGCTGGACTCAGCCTCAAGGGCACACATAGGAAAGAAAACTTGAACTCTAGTTTCAGGGCCTGTCTTGGTGTCAGGGCGGAGGATAAATCCCCAGTGGGCTNAGAGCATGTGCTCCTAACAACAAGACTGCCTGTTCGATGGTGGGCTACACCTGCCCGCAACTGGGACTGAACTTGGCACCTTGAGCTGAGCTGCCACCCGGGTGGCTCAGAGGATAGAGCACGCACTCTTAATAGCAAGTCTGTCGGTTTGACTCCCACATGAAAAAAAAGAAAAAAAGAAAAGGAAGAGACGCAGAAACCACGTGTTTTGAGACATGTGTGGACTCACCTGGCGGTAGGCCATCAGATGTTGCAAGATTTCGGCTATGGAGTCATTCGGAGAATTGTGCTGAACGGATGAACGGCTTGGTTTATTCTTCTTATCTTCTTCTGCTTCCTCCTCTCTGATCTTCTTTAGTGTGCTCCGATACACATGGTCTTGGCAGTAGATAATCTGCTCCATTTTGAAGTGAAGTCGGATGAACTTCTCGGCTTCTCTTTCTTGTTCCAGTTTAATGTCTTCAATTTTGGACTGTCGCACAAGAGACACACAGCAAGGTTCCTCTCAAGAAGTGACTCGCTGGGTCGCAATGGAGGCATACGCAAAGCCCACAAACAGCAGGTTCCTCGACTTGCATGAAAATAGCACACTGCTTTGCGGCGGCTTTCTGCGCCCCACCCTGGCTCATCTAAGACAGGGCTCCCACCCCCAGCAGAGGGTCAGACTCTCGCTGGGAGCCTGAGCCACACATGTGACCAGAGCCTTCATCCCCAGACTGGGATCCCACAGGGCTCTGTTTGAAGGCCTGAGGACTACAGCTTCTTTCTGCTCTCTTCTAGGCTTTTCCATCTGATGAGCAGTACGTATCCATCAGAGTGCTCACCGCGACAGGATGGGGCCTGACTTTAAGTCAGTCAATTCTCTATCCTATGTTCCTGGCATTTAGAGAAACTGGCTACCAGGAAGCCAGGGGGAAGTCTGTCACACAGAATACATCTGTACCCCGTTCCCCGCCTCGCCCCCGACCTCACTGAGCTCCCTGGAGTGAGAGGCATGCTGCAGGTGTGTCTGCAACATTTTCTTCTATGTCCGTTACAACCTTCTGAGGAAGCCATTTTTAGCGGCGTTTTGTGGGTGAGGAGCTGAAGGCTCAGGCAGCTTCAGGGGCCCACACCAAGCCCACCAGCTTCTGCGTGGCAGAGTGGGCCTTCCCATCTGTGCTGGGTGCTGGGAACTGAATGTTTGTGTCCCCCTATTATTCATATATGGAAAGCCTAACCCCAATGTGACGGCATGTGGAGATGGGGCCTTTGGGACGTCTAGGTCATGGTGAGGGAGCCCTAAGAATGGGATTTGTGCTCTTGTAAGACAAGGCACCAGAGGCCTGCCTCTCTCCTCTCTTTCTCTCTCTCTCTCTCTCTCTCTCTCT